ATTTGAATTTTTGCATGAATAGTTTTTGATATCATAAAGCTGATTTCACCATTCGATAGAGCACATCGAGTTCCACTTGGAACACCACTTGAACGACCTGAACCGCTTCCTGGGCGAATCCATGCAGGAATTACTCGAATCGGATGCTAACTGCATATACGTCAGTTAACAGAAGGTTTGATGCAATATTTGAAACACATCTCATATAAAAGGGAGCCTAAGTGTCATCCAAGGTATACTTTTTGATGTTTAAAAATTGAAGGCTTCGAGCTTTGACTTCTTTTGATAGAAAAATATCGGATAAAGGTGAAAACTTTACACTATGGAGAGCATTCTGTTATGAGCTCGGAGGCGCACCTTTAAAGTGGGTCTTCTCTTCTTGAACAGGTCTTCCTGAACATAAAATAAACTGAAACAGTACGTGAAACTACATATAAACGTGTAAGTATAATGTGATCATGGTTTATTTTTATTCACGAGTAGATAGCAATCGTAAAAGGAGGAAACGCACACAAAAGTTTGTTTGAGTCGTCTTGTTTGGACATCTGTCGAGTAGACTGGAACTTAGTCGTCATCGGTGGATGCCCATCGGAAGACCCAATTGTTGTCAGGGCATCCAGTGTCAGACCGAGCAATGTTCACCGTCGATGGCTTGCGTGTTTTACAATGTTGAATGTATGCGCTTCGATCGTGGCACAAACCGCAGCCCAAGTTCAAAAATCCCTGTCCTCAAGAACCACCACAAAATTGAGCCGTTGTCTTGCCGTTACCATTGATGCAAGAGTAAATTCTATTTGGACAGGCTTCAACAACCGATAGCATCATGCTGAGTGTCAGCGAGAGGACGAGCAGAGTAGTGAAAAGAAATCGCCCTGTGTTCATCTCGTCTGCTTGTATGCTTACTTATTTGTTTGCTTATAATTTTCAACCGACAGAACTATGTGAAAATGAAAAAAATGCGCAAGCTTTTATACTAATATTCATTTCCTTTTTTTCTGTGTATTAACACAAGTACCTTTTTTTCGACGCAAAAGTGTTCTAATACATGAAAATGTCATAGTTCCTTTTCTCTATTCAGGTGAAGTGCTTCAGTTGAAATTGGCTATGAATACTGTTTTGGATGTGAGTGTAGATGTCAGGTGTGCCTGTGGGTGTGGGCAATATTGTGAGGAAAAGTTATATGTACACCATGACATCCACACCCACACCCACACTTCAGGAAGTGACCCAATTGAGTCGTTTTTGTTTTTTTACATACAATCGATGAATTCGACTATTAAAGTTATCTAATTACAATCATAATGATTCTCAGTGACAATAGAAATAAAAATGATTTGATTGATAATTTATAATTGGGAACAAAAAAAACTATTGATCTATAGAGTGACGCAGAACAGCCTGTCAATCTGCAACTGTCTCATGGACTAATATATGAGAAAACAAACAATTAATCTATAACTCGGAGTATCTAACTATTTTTAAATCGATATTTTGTCTCTTAGAAATCAAACACGTCTATTTATATTGAGAAATTTTCATATTTAGCTACTGAAAAGGAAGCAATATAAATTATTTAATGATCACAATACACAAATAATATTGTCATTTGAGAGGAGATGTTGACTTAATCTCTTCATGAAACATAACCCTTTGTTTATAGGTTCCTTCCAATTATGATCGAAGTTTTGCATATGTACATCTAAAAATTAGTTTTTTTCAAAATATATGATGAGAAATATTTGCATAGAATATATGCCTTCGAAGGAGGTTTAATTTTCGATTCTATCGAATATAAAAAAGGTAAGCAAGTAAAAAATGATGATTCATTCTTATTTAATATATAGTAACCATGTCAAAATCATAAGGAAGAAGAAGCATGTTTATATAATTCAGCAAAAGAAGTCAATAGAAGTTTAAGAACTGCAAATAGAATTATTTCTTATTGAAAATCTATTTCCAATTTGTGCAATCTTGTTTAAATATGTCGTTAAAATCCTATATATCTAATGACCTGAGTAAATTACTGTTCAAATCTCGAAATAAAAAATCTCGAAAGCAAAAATCTCGAAAAACAAAATCCCGAAAGGATAAAATGTCAAAAAATATATATCAAAAAAATAAATGTCGAAAAATAAAATCCCGAAAAAAATAAAATTTCCAAAGAAAAATGTAGAAGGGTGTGGGTGTGGGTGGGTGTGAGAGGAGAGAAGGCCTACACCCACATCCATACCCACAACCAGACTCCACACCCACACCTGAATTTTAATCAGAATAAAATAACTTTCGATGATTTTCTCGAAGAACTCTTTGTTGGTCGGGGCGAAGTGATTTCTTGTTATTCTTCATGCGATTTGTTTACTTTATTGATTCATTGTCATCAGCTTTTAAAATAAAATTTCAATTGAATATACATGCTATCTGATAATTATAATCATATCATACATTAGTAGCTATTCAAAACTTTTTTCTTCGATTTTTTACCCTTTCGAAAATTTTCTTTCGATATTTCACTCTTTCGATATTTTTTGCTTCCAGTATTTCACTTTTTCGAGGTTATTCTCTTCAGGGTTTTTTTTCGAGATTTTGTCTTTCGAGATTTGGTCAACATACCACTTGAATTATTAGTTCTGAGATTGTCATATGCACTGAGTGATGGACAAGTATCATCCTAGGTTCAATCGTAGTAATTTAAAATATACATGCAAATAGAAAGGCATCGTGTTAAAAGATTGATCTTAATTGAAAAGCAGAATATTAATAAAAATATTCAAGGTTGAATAAAGGGGTGTGTGGGTATGGGTGTGAGTGTGGGTGTGGGCGTGGGTGTGAGTGTCGATCTTCTTCTCATACCCACATCCACACCCGTCTATTTTAGCAACTGCATCGCAGTTTGATCGTAATCAAACTCATGGAGCGGTTCATCGTAACTACGGGAGCAACATTTCATCATTCACCAAATGTCATTTGCACGATAGTGGAGCTCCCAGAATATTGTCAATAACTAGGTGACGAAATTGACTGACTAGAAAAATGGACATATATTCTGAAAGTAGACATTCTGGTTTCTCAGACAATTTGAAAAAAGAAATTTCGAACAGTTCGGAAAAATATTGATTTTCTAAGATAGAAATGGAGTCTTATCAAAGCCTGTGAGTGATAAGTGTTCAAAGTGTCAAGTCAATGTCTAGGTGTGACTGAGTACTTGGGCTAGTGGAAAATTTTATCTGCTTTTGTTCCGACAGTTAACTAAACCTGACATATCTATATAGTTTTCGTTGCCGCTTTCATCTTGAAAAATACAAAATCTTGTAGAAATCATTCCTTTAAATTGTTCTCTTATTTTCTCATAATCCAGAAAAATTCATTAAATTCTAGAGTAAATCAATGCATTTTTTACGATCGCCAGTAGCTATGAGTTGTTTATCAAAACAACAAGGAGAGAGTAGCAGTGATGAAATTCTAATTAGTCAAGCACATTAGGCAAACAAGACACATTTAAGTATTAATTGCCCAAGGTGAAAGTGAATTATTCATAGCTACCCAATCGTTGACAGGACACTGGTATGATATCATGGAGTGTTAAATGAATTCTGAACATATCATTGAAGAGCTCCGATCATTTTGCTGCGCTTGTACAAGTTCAACATATTCTTATTCTTGTATCACATTCTTTGTATATAGATCGAAAGAGAGAACGAAGTAATAAATCAAACAAGTACTCATAAAAAGACGAAGATACTATTTTGATAATTTTCTCACTTAAATGAAACAAAATGGGAAGATGTCATGGGTAGATAGGGGTGTCATTTTTCTGTTAATTTAAAATAAATTAAGGGACTCCCTGAGAATTGATTTACAACTTAGAACGGACCGTTTGGACTGAAATTTACAGAGATGAGTGATCCTAGTGAGAAACGCTGGTGGTAAAAATTTTAGCCCGATATGTCATACTTTCAGCTTGTTTATGTAGCATTCAGAAGAATCGTTATAACTTCGTCACTATAAGAGGTACAGAGCTCGATCTTGTTTCAAATTAAAGTTAACCTCTGTGCACAACTTTTATCCGAATAGAATTTTGAAATTCTCTTCCATTCATTTTTTATGAGCATTTTAATAGACATAGTGTTCAAAATAAGCATAGAAAAAAAGTTGACCGTCACGACACTGAATTCCACTTTTCTCAGGCTACGAATCCAATATAAAATAACTGGTCAGACAACAGTTTACTCTCATTGAGACCTTTTAAACAAACAAAAAAAAGAAATATTGATTATATCTTGGACTGGATGGGAGTTATTTCAATTTTCCTGCTGGGAAAAGCCATGTTTTGAAAAAAACGCTAAAGAAGTTTTAGAAATAGATTTTTTTCATTCAAATCCAGAAAAAAATCATATTACAATCGCATATTTTTTATACATTTCAGTGGACTGAGGATAAATAACGCCATCTATCATGCTGATTGATATAAAAATGTTCTATTCAATGTTAATGCAAATGACAACGCAGTTTTTCCAAAACAGAAAAACTTTAACAAACCACAAAAATTTCTCCGAATATACAATAGTAGAGTCGAAATTTCTTGTTATAAGTCTGATCATTTTGCAATAAGTCATATATATTCTGAAAGAGGAAGAAGCTTCGCTTCATGTTCCTATTATAAAAATTCAACTTTGATATTTTTTCAAAAAATTGAGTTTTCTGACAGGATCTCCTTAAATTTTGTATTATTTATATTTAGAACAAACATAAATCATGATAATTTATGCTTATTTTTAAACTAAAATTAATTGGTAATTTACTGGAAAATGATATTCCTAGTTTGATATTTTTTTCACTTAAATGAAACAAAATGGGAAGATGTAATGGACAGATATACATGCTTGAGTTAGTTTACACATCGCTCGAAAGAAAACAAACTTGATATTCTTTATAGACATCACCTTTACATCAAATCACATCTACTCAAAAATAGCTTCAGTGTATAATTTGTTTTAAAAACTATGCTTATTTTGAAATATCTTATTACTCGATTTACAAGTCTTATGCCTCCTTTGATCTTACCAGAAAATCCCATTACTCTTCTTCGTATGCTCAATCGTCAACAGATAGCCTTCTTTATTGTCGCTCTTCTTGCATGGACATTTGATGCTTTTGATTTCTTCACTGTTACTCTCAATATCATCGAAATTGCAACTACATATAATAAATTACCATCAGACATTACTTGGGGTATTACAGTAACACTAATGCTTCGTTCTGTGGGTGCCATTATTTTTGGAATTGTTGGCGATCGATTTGGACGTAAATGGCCATTCATTGTAAATATTGTTTTTTATGCTATAGTCGAAATTTGTACAGGGTTCTGTAGTACATACGCACAATTTATCGGTGTTCGTGCTCTTTTCGGAATTGCCATGGGCGGTATCTATGGTAATTGTGCTGCTACAGCGCTTGAAGATGCTCCGATCGCTGCACGTGGTCTTCTATCAGGCTTGTTACAACAAGGCTATGCACTTGGCTATCTACTTGCTGCTGCTTTGAATCTTGCAATTACGAATAATCAACGGTATAGATGGCGAGCACTTTTTTGGTTCGGAGGCTGTCCTCCATTGCTTGTTGCACTTTGGCGCATCTTCTTGCCCGAGACACGAGCATTTCTCTGTGTCAAAGAGGCGCGCAAAACGAACGCATTTGCAGGTAAATTTAGCTAGAATTCAAAAAATTTCGATCCTATTTTCAAATTCTTCATTTTAGCTGATCATCAAGTATCTGCAGTACGCGCGTTCCTCAGTGCTATTCGTCCTGCACTCGCTCAACACTGGCCAATTTTCATCTATCTTGTATTAATGATGGCTGGATTCAACTTTTTATCACATGGTAGTCAAGATTTGTATCCGACCTTTCTCGCTTCTCAGCTCATGTTCTCGCACAGTCTCGTCACTGTCACCACAGTTGTGGCTAACTGTGGTGCTCTCGTTGGTGGCACATTAATGGGATATTTTTCAAGTTTCTTCGGTCGACGATTATCAATCATCGTTGTTCTTATCATTGGCGCTGCTCTCATTCCAGCCTATTTACTTCCACGAAATATGTCCATTATGGCTGGCGCATTCTTCCAGCAAATGTGTGTGCAAGGTGCTTGGGGTGTCGTGCCCATTCATCTTATGGAACTCTCACCACTACAGTTTCGTTCATTCGTAGTCGGCACCTCTTATCAATTAGGCAATCTCATTTCATCAGCCTCGTCAACTATCGAAGCTACTGCTGGACAACATTTTCCGTTGCAAACATCTAATCATGCTACTAATAAATACCAGTACGACTATGGTAAAGTCATGTCTATCTTCTTAGCCAGTACATATTGCTATCTCCTAATCATAATTTTACTCGGACCGGAGAAGAATAATACTGATGAACTTACCCAATGTGAGACAAAAGAAGTCGAGCTTAGTGAAGTTGACAAGAACTTATAATATAAACGTAATTATCATCCGCACCTTCAAGAAATAGTGACGAAAATATGAACGAATATTTTCTGAATCATAATAAAATGGCATACTATATTTTTACGAATTCAATGGATTTGAAAAGAATTGTATATTTATTTTCCATTAAACGCATTTCATTCATTGGATATAAACGAATTCTCTAGACAAGAATCTTTGATAGAACCAGAGGCTTCTTTCTTTCTCTTCTTCATTATAAATCCACAAGATTCCACTGATGGTCAAGTCAGTTTTCTTAATATAGCAAGCATATGGAAATAAATCGACTAATCACTACAGAAATCAGAAATGTACTCCAGGAATAAAAAAAACAATAGACATTGAAGATCAAATTGAATGTTAAATTGTAGTCCGATGTCAATTTATAAGAAAATTAAATCCAATACGTAGAGCATCATTTCGTCTACAAAAATCTGTAAAGCTAATTTCGTAAATTTGATAAGGACATAATCTGATTGATAGAGTAAAACTGGAAGAAAGAAACTACATCTTTCTCTTGTTCGTTTGTAGAATGTTAAGTTTCAATAATAAAGTTAATTTTGAGATAATTAGATACTCTACAATTTGCACTTACATAGTTTACAAAAATGAAGAAATTTTATTTATAAGCAGTCTATCGTATCTGTCCATCTAAATTTTTCCAAATCCATACATCTATGATATCGGTGCGTTGACACCACTTGAAACGAAAAAGAACAACATGTATACTTTTATACAGATTAAGGAATATCCTGCACGTCATTTGATATACCTTAATGAGCATGTTCCTCTTATCTTAATGTCAATGACTTATACGTACTTGTCCCATGTGTTGAATATCACGTATTACTGTAGTTATTTTTAATAATAAAAAGAAGGAGAACCATAAGTAAATGTTTTGATAGTATACGTATTATGTATGATAGTAAAAAATATATATGAAGCAGACAAGAATATAGGATAGAGGTAGAGATGTGCAGAAACAGTTTCAGTTCCGATCATTGTGACCAAGAAAACTAAAACTTTACTGAGACCAGAACCACGAAGAAAAAAAGTTATCGGAATCGGGATTACAAAAAAAGAAGTTATCCTATCCAAACTAAAATATCCTATGATATTGAACGAATTACCTTAAATATCATAAAATTGAAAACAAAATTTAGGAGAGCAGATCAATAAAAATGATACCCATCGGCAATACGGTATTTTAGAAGTGCTTTAAATTTGATAATGAAGAATTTCTAAAATAGTTTTCTCTAAGTTGAGATCAAGATCGGAAGCCGATGATTCGCCTAAGTTCATTGATAATGAAATGTTGCAAAGAAAAATAACACAAATATCGAAATGAATATGTATAAGAGTAGGAAATATTCAAATAACTAAAATCATCAGGATCGAACCGGACATCATGAAAAAAATTATCAGAATCAGAACTAAAAGAAACTTAGTTCCTCACATCTCTAGATAGGACAGTAGAACTACTGAATCATCCTCTTGTGTAGTTAACTCTGAAACATGTCGAAGTCATCCATGTAGTCAACTTTCTATTTCTAATCACAATGATATAAATTCAATAGAAGAAATGGTAGAAAAAGTTTATCTTAACTTAGTCAAAACTAAATATTAAAGTAACTTTTTTCATGTTCTCTAATACTTCGAAAATCTTTATGTTATCGAATTATTGCTAAAATGCTTGATACTATGGAATTTATCTGTCATTTTAATCTTCATAACTAATGTAAAAAATAGTATTAATTGAATACTGTTGTAATGTATTAAAAATGTCTAATATTCATGCAGCACTAATCTACATTTCTATGACATATGATATAACAAATTTAATTTGTCAAAATGTCAATCATATAACCTCTAAACGTTATAGAAAACTACAACGTTGAACATCATTTATACACTAGTCGTGAATAATTATCCGGCACATGATCTTTTTTTGAAAAAAAGATTAACATTTATACGATCGATTTGAAAACCGTCAAAATATATATTTATAACTAGTTGTGGAATAGAACATGTTATCTAGTAGAACTTTATTGAAGATTGAAAAGGCTTTATTTTTTCTAGAGAATACTTAACTTAAGAATGAAATTCTTTTTATTCTCTAACCGTCTAAAAATGATGACGCATGTTTTTCAAAATGATCAATTAATAATAGTAAAACCTAATCAATGTTGTGTATATAATTTTTTCGGAAAATTATTTTATTTTAGTGACATTTTAATACTGACAATATTCATTACCGATAATAAATGATTTCTAGTAGACTTCAAATTAAATCTAAAATATTGTTTGAAATCTTTTTGTTCTCTTCTGCAGTGAGAAATAATTGTCTTAATGTAATATCTTAAATATTTCTTCTAATAAAAAAGAATATTTATCTATTTTGCTAAACATTAAATATTAATCATTTTCTTTATCTACTTACGAAAAACTATTGAGAGAAATTAATTTTATAGTATGTTCTTCATAAAATATTTTCTTTTAAACAACACTATACATTTTAAACAAAATACATTTTTAAATACATTGGCAGGTAGCAGCTTTCAGAATATCTTGTTATTATCTTCTCTATCAATTATTTTCATAAGTAGTCATATGTAACAAGAAAAATTTGTTAAGAGACCAACGACAAACATAATCAGATTAAAAAATATCAAATATTTCGAATAAGTACATTATTACACAACATTTAATTCAATATCTTTCAATTCATCGTGTTTATTGCAAAGGATTTATTGACACTGATTCAAATGTGTGATTAATATTCAATAATATGTTCGTATTATCTCTATTATTTCAACTTGACAAATAGAATTCTTTTCTTTTGCTTAATAATTATTTGCTTTTTTTATCGAACTATAGTTTGTCACCTATTTTTTATAACAATCACGAATGACTCAGCGGGTAGAATAAATATCAATATCAATCAGTTTATACATGCTTATAGTTATTAATAAAAATTTTTAATGAAATAGAAAAATACAAAAAATGGCATGAATATGCGTTTGAATAGAATTTCACAATAAACTCTTACAATTATGAATAATTCAGTAATAAAAAAAAACAAACAATTCATAATAAGATTAAATGATAAACTTATTTTGAGATCATTATTTGTTCTAGTTCATTATCCATTCAGTTCTTTGTTTAATTTTGATTTCTCTTCAGTTCGATCTGTGTCGATGGATTTTATCTATACATGTAAGAATATAACTTGTATTTAACTAACACGAAAAGATCCGCAGAGGCGATTAATATTGATCCAACTATCTGCTACAGATGAAACAAATTCAAAGTTCTTTTATTATATTATGGAACGAATCAATTAGGTATCTAACATGATCATAGGTTGAGCGACATCGTTAAAAGGATGTAGGTGCGTGTTCTGTTCATCCATTCCCATATATCATATCTGAATCACATGTTCTCGTCAATAATGAGACTATATATGCTTTCATGCATTGACACTTTCTTGCATAATAGAATTGCACATGTAGGATTACCTATCCCGTTAATTTAGTCATTTGAACTCCCTAAGACGATCTATGTTCTGGACTGTTTCTAAATATCTCACGCTGATCTTTGTTAGAAGTTTATAAATCATACACTGCACTTTAAATTTATCAATACCAGCTTTCAATCCAATAGGTATCTTTGGAAATAATAACGATATAAAATCGACATTTTCATCTCAATCCCAATTTGATAAACACCATCGTATGCGGGTGCAGTTTTTAATCCAACTGGAAGTTTTCATGCTGTTTCATAGTGTAATCTTGATACACGGAATAATATCATGATTCTCCTACATTCATTATTCTTATAACACTATGTTGAATCTTTACTAATACTTCAACTCTTCTCAACTTTTGAGTATTACTCTTCCTAGGAAGTTGGAAAATTGGAAAAAAACGCAATTATTTACCAGGTAGATCTTGTTTACGCTTTCAGTAATAAAAATAGTAACTGACTCACTGAATATCATTGGATCATAATGAAACAAAAACCAATGGAGCGTGTCTCTCTATTTACTTTTTACTTGGGAAATTCCAAGATAAATCACTTCTACTTGGTATAAATAAAAAGCGATGATAAGCAATATCAAATCAAAACCAAATCAGTTACTATTGTGAAAACGATGTCCTTATTTCAGTTGAATTCATATGATGTTTCCCGCGCAAGTGGACTAGTTCAGGTGCCTGATAATAACATAGCGAAACTGATGTACTACTTGGATTGTGTATGTACATTGATCGAATATGATGAATCCAATCTCAATCGTCTTCGTGACTTCAGAAATTATGATGATTTAACTGGTATTGAAGTTCGTCTCTTATATATCACCTGTGTTGCTCTTGATCCTGATGATTTAATTGGTAAAATAATGTTTGAAGATCGAGATGGTAAAATGTGTGGTAAATCACTTAATCGAATGTACGATTTAGGTGAAGTACAACGAAGTCTTCTGGTACTCAATTCCATCGCCGTTGCTGGTCGAACTCGACGAGTGAAGAAAATTATGGCTTATAAACCACGATGGTTGTATCAATATTATACACAACCAATCGCTCAATTGACAGCTATTTATCAACGTGAACGACAACAACAAGCAGTGCGTGAACTGCTCAATACATGTACTATCTCTTGAGCCATTACTCATTCATCGATAGACATATAAATGGACACTACCTTCTATAATTTTTCTTTATTTTATGCAAGAATAAAAGAATTCGAATAATAAGAATATTTTTCAAAAGAAATGTTTTTTTTTTTTTGTCAGTGAGTGAAGAGAGATGAAAGACGAAGACTGAATTGACAATCATATGATTGATAGTAATATTGGCAGTGTTGTGAACCAAAATCTTCACTATTAACTCTGTTCTTCCTCGAATTATTAGATTTCAGTTAACATGAATATTTTTCGTCGATTTTGAGTAACTACAATTTTGTTGTTTCATCATACGAAAGATACTTAAGATAACGAAAATTATGTTTTCGAATGACGTCAAGGTAAGTTGAAGCCGATTGACGTTGTGTGTCATTAATCAAGAATATCAAGCTTGTTTACTATGTACAAAAAATAGACATGTGTAAGTCGGAAGAAAAACACGTTGAAAGGCAAATAACGAAAAGGTTGTGCATCATTGAATTTTCGTCATGAATACTATCATTACCATTATTATGAGCTAAAATTAACATTAACTTTGATTTGATCTTAATAGAGATAAATTTATCATTTTAACATCTTAATTCATGATAAAATTTTCTACTGGAAATATTGTGTAGAATGACTTTGAAGCATTTACTGAGATTATTGATTTTCTTTTCTGAATGAAAGGGTTATATAGCTGAAAGTATCTTTCAAAAGTGTATTTGATTAAGCCAACCAATATGTAATATGCTCTAGTCCAATGGAAAATTATTATTAGAGAACATTGTATGTGGGACAGACAAGCATAGTCAGATTTCTGTTGTAGAAGTTGACAAAAGGTAAATAAGTATGGAGAAGTGAAATCCAAGGTCAATTTTTTTCTCTTATTTTAATATTTGAAAATGGATGTGGATATTTATTTCATCCACACCCATACTCCATATCTAACTGACTATTGGACTTGTACATCCACTTATATCACAGAGAAAATCGGATAGATCTCTATTGACTGTAAGTAGAGAACAGTTCGTTCCGAAAAATTCGAATGTTATTTAGTTTTTTTCTAGATTATCGATTTTGTAGTTTCGATATTTCAAAGACAGAACGATGAAAAAAAGATTCCTTTTGTCAATCGATAGTCCATGCAGCTTCCTACAAAAAATTTTCGTACCTTTTTCGATTCCCATGCTTCGTTAATGGTCTGCCATTGTTCCACAGATGATCATTGCAATGACCAATGGGAAGTAAATGTTTTGATAGTATAGTTGTTCTATATAATAAAAAAAAGTTATATATTTATAATACAAAAGAAACGCACGAATAAAAGAACAACAGAACCATCCTATCGTGTGATTAGCAATGATATGTGTTGAAATCATTCGTGTAGTCAAATTGTTTACTTTAGTGATTATATTCTTATTTAACGACGTTATTATTGGAATTGCGGGATATACCACAAATGTTAAAAAGAAATATCATTTTATCGATCGTACAGATAATATCAGTGAGTAAAATATGTTCATTTTTCATTATAAAGACATAGATCTACTACAAAAAATAGTTGAGCTTTACTTAATTGAAGCTAAACATTAAAGAAATTCTTATGATATTTTTTTAATACTTAAGAAATCTTTATCTTATTGAACCAAATACTGAAATATCTCGTACTATAAAAATTTGACTATCACTATAGTCTTTAGAACTAACATCAAAAAGTGTTATTGTAATTCTAGTAGAAAAATATGAAAATATTCTAGTGGAAAATAATATTTATGCACTATTAATCTACATTTCTATGATATATGAAATAAAAAATTTTAAATGTAAAAATGTCGATCGAGTAATCTTATAGCATTGAAAAATTGAACATCGCTTATATACTAAGGATGAGTAATTATTCCGTAATTGATCTCTTTAAAAGAAAGATTAAAATTTTATATGATTGATTTTGAAATGATCAAAATATATTTAATTTTTCGGAATAGAACACTCATTATCCAGTAACGCTTTATAAAGGTTGATAAAGCGTAAACTCAATAACGAAATTTTCTTAATCTCTAGTTCTCTAAAATGGATGGTACAGGTCTTTTAAAATCATCGCTTAATAATAATAACTAATTAATTATTTATACATTACGTTTTGGAAAAATTAGATTATTCTCTGTCAAATACATTAAATCACAACAAATTACTGTCAGATTTTTTTAAAATGTCAACCATCAGTTTTTGAATAACTTCTGATCGCTTATAGCTATCGACGTCAGGCTTTCACCATTGGTTAGAGCAATATGAGGGGGGGGGGGGGGGGGGGGCGTCTATCTGTATAACATTCATTAAGTTTGAAGTTTTTCAAGGATATTTGTAGTTGAGCATTTTTTTTTTGTTGTCTATTTCAACAACTTTGTGTAGTAACCTAGATTCAAATTACATCAAAATGCAGCTCAAAGAGAGTCGTATTATCTATAAAATCTCCAAATTTCAGAACACTTCTCTCGAAGCATGAGTCCATGGTGAGAATGAACAAATCGAACAATTATACAGAAAATACAACATTCTTCGAGCTACATTTTGGTGTAATTCGAGCATAGGCTACTTCGAAAAGTTGTAGAAATGGACAACGAAAAAAAAAAAGTTCAAACTGCAAGTATCCTTGAAAAACTTCTTCGAACTTAATGAATTTTATACAAATAGACTCTTCCTCCCACGTTACTCTATGTAATGATGATTGGCATTTAAAAAAAAACCGACAATAGTATTGAATGATATTTTTTATATCCACTGTATTATTTCAACTTGACCAATAGAATTCTTTTCTTTTACTTTATAATTATTTTTTTTTCCAACTATAGTTTATCATCTATTGTTTATAACAATTACGAATGACTCAGTAAATCAAATAAATATCAACATCACTCAGTCTATAAATGCTTATAAGTATGAATAAAATTTCTTATTGAAAAAAGAAAATTGAAAATTGTTACGAATATGAGTTTGAGTAGGATTTCACAACAAACTCTTCCAATTATGAATAATTCAGTTATAAAAAAAAACAATTCATAATAAGATTAAATGATAAACTTATTTTGAGATCATTATTTGTCCTAACTCATTCATCTTTCAATTCATTATCTATTCGGTTCGTTTTTTTTATTTTGATTTCTCTTCAGTTCTACTTATTTCGATAGATTTTATCTATACATGTAAGAATATAACTTGTATTTAACTAATATAAAGAACAATACAAAGACCATTTTATACAAATTCGAAATTCATTTATTATATCATGGGACGAGTCAACTATATATTCAAGATGATCATCATTCGAACAACATCGTTAAAAGGGTGTAGGTGGATCTTCGATTCACCCGTTTCTACATTCACACTCATTGTAGTATCCTTCTAGAATGTCCTACTCATCTTGCTTGCATAAATGATAATCAGCAGCGTGTAGAAACTGTTTTGAATTCGATGGAATGAATGATTCATAGAGACAATTCTTGTTCATTGAAAGAAAACAAAGTCATCCGACGATTCATTCGATAGTAGGAAACAAATGAATATAAACTAGACTGAATAGTTCTCAAGTAGAATTCGAACAAAACATAAAGTTGAAGTATTTGCCCTGCGAATATTTATGATCTCTATTTTTTCTGCAACAAAATGATTCGGTTAAAACTTGTGCCATCTGACGATCTTGCCAAGAGCTTCTCTAGATAGGTAACTTTTTGACGTATTGACACAGGTTTGTGTGAGTCACGGTTGACGACTGCTGCAGTCACTTATTTTTATTATTTTTTTGCGTTCTACTCAACTTGTCGTGTCTATATTTCATTGGTGCCTGCTATGAACAGAAACTAAATAAACCATCTTATTAAGTATTCTTACTCAGATAGATGGCGATAAATACACCTATATATATTTATATATATACACACCTGTATATACTTGCATTTCATGTTGATAGTATTTTTATATAAAATGAAAAGTGCTATTTTTCTCCACGTTATTCTGTTACTTTTCTTGACTGTGTCAAAAATAAATACACAAATGGAACAGATCATAATCTCAAACGACTGTGATAATGACGAAGGCAAAAATTTGGAAAATGAACAAGATTTGTCTAATGTTGACGATTTCGAGTTTATTCTCAATGCACAAACGGCATCCAATGAAAATCTAAATCGTCCGATGAGGTAAACCATTCAGAATAATTTGTAAAAATCTTTCACCCTTTTTTTTAATGCACGTACCCTCTACAGATGAATGAAAAGTAGAAAGCAAGTGAGACATCAAAGAGCAAACTTAAGATAAAGATAATTAGCAATCTTCTTTCTAGTTTATTGCGAACAAAACAGAAACGGACAAAATCGAAAGCTTTCTCTAGATTTTCAGACACTTGACATCATTTGTAATTCGGGTTTTTTGTCGATTAACTTTCATTGTAAATGTTTCTGCTTAGCCTCAAAATATTCTTCCTTCAATCCTCCATAGAATGACATGAGAACATCTTACATAGAGTCATAATGTAAAAAGAATGACTAAATAGCACTGAACTTTGTGAATGTTGGTAAATCTCGAACACAAAAAACCCATGTTTCGGTCATATTCAAATTTTGTTTCTATTAAGAAACATCTTAGTCGTTTTATAGCCCATGAAAAGCTCTATGATTCCAGCAATATTCAAAAGAAAAAATTCCACATCAGCTCCCGTCACTAATGAAGAAAATTCTGCTTTCAAAGATAGCAAAAGTTATTGTTATAAATTAGGAATTTTGGGAGATTCGAACATTTTAGTATATGTTCATTAAAATTTCGTTCTTTGAACTAAGTCCTGTTTTATATTTGAAATAGACTTATATTTAATTCAGCAATAAAATAATTGAAATGAACAATAATGAAATTTAGCAATAAATTTACTAAATCAGCAATAATTATATTGAATCAGCAATAATTTACTTAAATTAAAGGTGAATTTATATAAAAAGGGGCACTATGGATTCATTTTGTTATGCTATATTCCAAAGATGTGCTATAAGACAGAGTTGTGTTATACTATATATTATATTTTCGGTCTCTTTCTTTCTCTACATATGTATCTACACCATTCATGCTCTTTCTCTTTTGTCAGGTTAGCTCTACTGGTTTTTCTGAATCCGACTAAAGAAATCATTCTATCATCTCGAATATTGAATGGTTATTTGAATACAAATTTTGTAGATTAATATTTACTCTTTCAGACTATGCAATTAGAACTGTACAACAACTATTCAAAGCAGAAGGTTTTTAAACAAAAAACGTCCGAGTCCAAGTATGAACTCCAACCTTTTTATTTAAAATCCTTCCACTCTGAATGTCTTTTGTACAGTTACAATCACATTGTATGAAAGTGAAAACATTGCTTCGCAGGTGTGTATTCGAACAACAATTCAGTATTCTAAAAAAATAGAATGCACCAAAATTCTCTGGTCGAGTTCAGAAAACCTGGGGCAGCTCCCTACTATCAGATACATTCCCATATTGCTTTTTCTTCGATTGTTCATTTCTTTCTTTCAAGTGATCATTCAGATATATTCTATTTGTATCATATCTATTCCTGGTATATTCTGTCATCTCATATACAGGTCCACATGCGTATGATAACAGGGAGAATCTTATTTTTCGAAAATAGACATTATATACACAAGATCATATTACGGGTTTAACACATTTATTTATAGAAATACGTAAGAAACAAAAAAGGCTTTATTGACCTAATAATATACTATATTTTTGATTTCTTTTTTTTGTTTATTTTCGATTGTAACTAAAAATAATGCAGTTTTTCTTTTATTTATTCCTATAATATGAAATTGCTCAATAAAGTTTTTTGTATTGCTCACAAATTATTGCTAAAACGTATGTTAATTATTGCTGATTCCGATATTTTTATTGCTCAAATAAGATGAAACAAGAAAAATTAACCGAACTTTCTCTGATACGTTTGATTTTTCCTAATAATAGAAAAAATTATCCAAGTTTTTCAAAAAATAATAGTACCGGTATATGACAGAGAAACATGATATCTTAGATTTTTGGATCACATAATTAATCTTACAAGATAAATATTTTAAAATATAAAGTCCGTGACTCAAAAAAAAAACGCATATCAACATTTCTGTCACAGCCTACGATGTTCTAGAAGGCTTGTTGAAATTCAAAGTTTTGGACTCAATATGGACCGTGATGAATTTGATGAGATTTCTTCATTGTATTTGAAAATACAATTGTGGGAGATTATTGAAGTATATTATGAGGAAAAATAACTCTTCTTTTGCTCCAACCAACCTCACAGATCGACATGCTATCTTTGTGTCTTGAAATTAGACATAAATATTCTATTCTTCGAATCTGTCAAAAAATTGAGACATATGTAGTTAGATGCATCGTGTACGGCTCCATCATACTTACATATTTAATCGATTATAGACTCTGATGAAAACATTTTAGTTGATACCTATAGTAAATCATGCAAGATTTAATTATCATAGTTGAATTTTAGTGATGAAATCGATGATCTCGTATGGTCAGATGAACCTATCCATCGATCAACTCGAGATGACAACATAGATTTGGAGAATATTCCAACCCTTCGAATCAATGTTGAAGAAAAAACATTTGTACCTCTTTACAATGTTGCTGTTGAAGCTTGGATTCATACATTTGCTGCTGACATTACTTTAACACAAACATTTATCAATTTGGAAGATAAACCAATCGAAGCTATTTACGTCTTTCCAATCGAGGTACTTCACTGCATTTGTTTTTATATAGGTGAAGAATGTTCTGAGAAAAAACTGTATTTAGTTATCAGAGATCATCATTAGGATAGGACTGCCCTCAATATCTCTGTTATTTCTTGTTCTTGATAAATGTTGAAGTGACAGATACATTGATATACTGTTCTGTTGACCCTGTCACGGACTATAATCAATGGGGTGACGCTTCTCATCTATCACTAAAATGACTTCGCCATATCTCGGATTTTAGTCTCGAAGAAATTGCATTAAATTCATAATGTATAGTTTGTTTTTCGTTTACCTTGACGTTAAGCTACATGAACATGGTTTCCGTGTCTTATATTCTTTAGTGACGAACAAGATTATTAATTATATCTGAAATAAACGAAAAGTGATTTATGATACGAAATAGTAACAAGGATTTCTTGTCGACATTACAATTTGTCGTGACGTAAAGCAACAAAAAAAAGCACACTCCTTTGCTAGATAGAGCATTAAAATGTTCAACTTATACTTTAGGTGTGATAGATTGTCGAAGATTTTTGAAATCTTAGGATTAAAATTTAATTTATTTGAAGGAAAATGCTGCTGTCTATGCTTTAACAGCTGAAATTGATGATCGTCTGATTACAGCCGAAATTAAACGGAAAAAAGTAGCTGAAGCTGAATATAATGAAGCAATTATACATGGTCAAACAGCAACTCTATTACGTCAGAGTGCGGAAACATTGGATACATTTATTGTAAGATGTGACATTTCATTATGGAACATGAATCTTATAATTAACAATGATTTCTATTTAGATCAATGTTGGCGCTATACCGCCGGGTAAAGAATGTCGAGTCATGATACGCTATGTAACTGAATTGGATTTGATCGATGGAAAATCAATTCGTTTCGTTGTTCCATCTACAATAGCTCCACGGTACAATCCAGAATTAGGTCACTTACAATCACCCGATAATACTAATGCTGAATATGTTCAAAGTACTCCTTATACAATATCTTTTCAAATTCATGTCGAACGAAGTAAGTATTGCGAGTGTATATTCTTCAACTTGGAAGTGTAGCTGAAATAAGATCATCATCAGAAATTATATCAATGTTTTATGAGTATATGCTCGTAAGGTACACTTGAAAGTCATAGATTGTGTCCAACTGAAGACATTCGAATCATACGAGAACAAATCGATTACAAGATCAACATAGGAATATACTTTTTATCACACTCTCGTTTACTTAAAATGTAAAAAAATCTTCAACATTGTTATTGAAACTTCCCTGATTGAATTTATTTGGCTTTTCATAATTATGAAGATATTGATATTGTTACATCAGTAGTTATCATTGAGCCAGTTACTAATAAAATAAGTATTTTTGCTTCAGCACCTTCTAAAAAACCGTAATACGAGTGTCGATTCGTTTATCTCAAATATTTTAGAAAATAGAACTTAAATAGATTTGAAAATTAATAGATGAAGAAGTTATTTTATAGATAACAAAAGTCCATGATGATAGCGACTGATTATTGTGTTTCAAGTTCAGAATACTCAATGTCTTTTCAGAAAAACAATACATTTTGACACATGTAACATCTAAATCAGTTGTTTCATTGACTTGAATGGATTTGAAAAAATCGCTATATTTTGCATTCTTACAGAAGTCTCCTATTTCGTCTTTAGATTCATATCAAAACAATATATGCATTTATCAATGATTTTCTTTCCTTGTGTTGTCCACAATGATCTCGTGTAATGAATATAGTCTAAAATCATCCTAATTAGCAGATTTTTTCTGTAAAGAAATCTTTTACCTTTAAACAAACGATTTGTACAGAAAAAAATCTACGCAACATATGTAACATTCATCAAAGTGTACTATAAATTGTGTTAAATGTTTTTATTTATTATATCCGACATAGTAAAGTTAACAATGAAGAGTATATTAAATCTTTATTGACTATAAGAACAGATAAATCAAAGCTACAGAATACAACACCATGGGAAAGAAATATTTGATATTTGGATAACCAAACAATATACTTCTATCTATTCTAGACGGCATCTCTCGCGTTGCTAATCTGTCTCATCCAGTCAATGTTAGTACATCATCAGAATTAATCAATATTTCTACACAAGATGTTGCACTTGATCGTGATTTTATCATTGATATTCACTTGCCTAGACGTCCACCATCCATGTTGACTGCTGTTGAACAATACGATTCGACGAAATATGCTGCACTTACAGCACTAATTCCTCATAATTTAGTCAAATCTAATTATATGAAATCTGAATTCATCTTCATCGGTATGTTTGTGTAGAATTTTCTTTTTTTTTAAACAATGAACGTATTCCTAGAGTAAATATTCTAAAATTTAAGGTCACTCAACATCATATTTAGTAAGAGTTTCGATATAGATAGATGATGTATACTCCTCTTTCTCACTCTTTTGTAAGGTCATGCCCGAGCGAAAGTTGAAATATCCTATTAGAAAGCCATGAACCAATTAATCAACATATTCCAAAAAATAATGATTTTTTTTTGTGTTGAAATAGATACGGTGTGTGATATAAAGAATAGGCCTCACAGTAATTCGGCCATATCTCTTTCAGATTCACTTTGGTTTTAAAATAAATCCTATTCAATTTTCTACCAAAAAAAAATATGAAAGAGAACTCATTCAAAACATAACTATACGATCAACGTATAAATTTCCTAACAAAACTCTTTTTCAAAGCCAAATTTTATGCACATTAATTATCTCTATTTTTCTAATGAAGTTCCAGACAAGTCGCTGGATGACGTACTAAGAGTAATGTTCATTGAAAATTGTTTGTTTTCATATCTCTTACATGGTATAAAATGAATTTCACACAATTTGAGTCTTGTAGGATGATGAAAAAATTCATATCTTTGACTTGAATACGCAGTAACAACAAAGGTCATATTTATACAACCTTAGAAGTGAAAATGCTTGTCAATTATCACTGAATTCGTACAGTTTTTGAACAGATACAAAATGCTGTTCTCAGTCTTTCTGCATGCGGAGAAAATTAAGTTTTAAAGGTGTTCTTTTTGCATAATTTGGTAGAAACTTGAAATCAGATTATTCTTAAAAATTATAATTATCAAGCAATGAAAACTTGAAGAAATTTTTCTGAATTATTGAGAGACTCATTCTTTATTTGAGCTCATATAATTGGTCAAAAATTGATCCTCAATAAAAGGCAGTATAAAAAATGGCGATGTGCCGGTAGACTGTAGAAGAGAGTTATATCATTGTTTTTTGTTGTATACGAAAGTGTAACCGAAATTTTTTTTCTATAAAAAGAAAGTCAGCTATATACCGGATGTTCGTAAATATTTGATTGTAATCTTCTCAAAAAAAAAACATGTAGAATTCGATTCTCTACAAATTTCTACTTTCTTTAATTTAAATAAATAAAACTCGATGTCTTTATCGACCATATAGTGTGATGATCTCTGTACAGCACTGATATTCCATGCATCTTTATAGTAATTCTTAAAGATATTGTTATTATTACATAAACGTAAATAGTAATGAAGCATTTACAAATAATTCTGAAAGAGTATTTGACATATAATAGAATTACAAGTATGAAATCATTTGTTTCTATATGATCTATTGTTGCAGTGGATTGCTCTGGATCAATGGAAGACGAAAATAAAATAGGTCTTGCACGCGAGGCTATGCTTTTATTTATACGCAGTCTACCGTTGAATTCCTATTTCAATATTATTCGATTTGGATCACATTATCAAATTCTTTTTGA